TCTCCAGGATTTTCTGAGACAAAACCTAGTAATTAAAATGTTCTGCATGCAAACATGCCTTATTTTAAGGGGTATTGGTTTATTTGGTTCACGTCTGCATGGAAGCATACTTCCTGCAGTTGTTTTAGTCAGGCAACAGATCAAACAAAATGTCTTAGCCAGCAGGATTCTAGAGTGGAAGATCAATAAAGTGAGGGGCAAAATCCCTTTCCTTGTTACATCTTAGATTCAAGAAGGGTAATCATACCTTGGCAAAAACAGGCAAACATCTTCACAAAAAATACGGGTTTATAATTTCAACAAATTCAAGAAAATCCTCCTTTGTTTTGTTTGTTTCTCTATTATATAAATGTAAAATCCATCTAATACACTTCCTAGTGTTCAGCACTTTTGATAGAAGCAACAGTGGCTGCATCACTGTGGTGGAGTGGGTGGAAGGCTTAGCAATATTACTTCGGGGGACATTGGAAGAGAAGATTAAATGTAAGATTGGTCTGTGTGCTAATATTTACTGGTAGTCACTGAATTCATGACAAATAACATTGCTTTTGCTGTAATGTCGTAGTTACTCTCATAAAGTATTTGATAATTGAAAAGTTTTCTTCTGTATAGTTTAATGCAATGAAACTGAGTCCTGAAATTGCTTCTCTGAGACAGAGTTTTTTCTGTGTAAACTGCTGTTATAGCTGCCACCTTATTTTGTTGCTTACAAAAACTTGCATTGGAACCGAAGTTTATTCTACAGTATACAGTTTTGACAAAATATATGGTTTTGTATTCACACACAGAAATAGAAAGAAGCAGATGTATCTCTGGGGTGATTTTGGCTAAATAGCACAGTCTCAAGCCAACCAAGACCAGTGCCAACATTCATTTACTGGCACAGTGGGGACACAGCAGCAAATGCATTAACTCCAGCAGTTCTTCAGCTTGGAAGCATAGGTGGGAAAACTGAGTCTGTAAGACTATGGTCGTGAGAACCTCCACAATAGTGACAGAGAAAGGTGGAAGAGAAAAAGTAGCAAGAACCCTAAAATTTTAAGAAGCAGAGAAAAAGAAATAGGGCACATGGGGGGAAAAACGGTAATAAGAAAAAGGAGAATGACAGCATGTTGTTTTCATGACAACATGAACTATATATGCAACCATAGTTCCCAGCTTGCAGCATCAGCCATCCCTAACAAACTATGTAAATTCATCTGGAAAGTGGCCTGGGATGCCATAGCACTAGAATATGTGCCCAGGACAATGAATATGTGTCAGTACCACTACAAGCAGCAAAATACACAGCCCTGCTGTAAGCACTATAGAATTTAGTAGTGTGTAGTGATACACAGTGTTGTCTGTCACAAGTGTATGCCAGGAGTGTTTTTCACTGTAGACAAAGTCTTAGTCAGAAAAAAACCCCAAACCTCCTGTGTTCCTAACTTAAGAGTTTTGTTTGTTTGTTTAATTAAGTTTTATGAAGGCTGGTAAAGTTTATTATGATCATAGATTTCTGATTCCAGGAAGGTAGAAACAATTAGAAGAGGAATTATGCAGATACCCAAAATACTTTTGTTTAAGGTATTTTCTCTTTGCAGTCAGTACAGTTCATTCTTCTTTTTCCTTTACTTTTCTAACCCAGCATCTGAAAAAATGAGGATGTGTTTTGTAGGTGCAAAGTCCTTTTGGTAGAGATAGCAGGTCCCCACTATGGGAAATTTGGCTTCTAAACCAGAACCTTATTTATATTTTAAATTGACAATTTAAGAGAAGATAAGATCTGTAAGTAAGTATGGTTTCTGTGAACTGAATAATATTTATTTGAGCAGAAATAAATAATTTTTAACTATAAAGGGAAAATAGGTACTAATTGACTAATATCAAAATGTGATACTATTACATATATAAATATATAATAAATTTAGCTCAATAGATTTGCTGTACAAGGTACAATTCACATTTTCTCTCTATAGGTAACAGATAGCTTTAATGGTATGTGATTGTAGTTTGTAATCAACTTGAAATTTATTTGTATTCAAAAGACTGTTTTGCGGTTTATGACCTGAATGGTGATGGATACATTTCAAGAGAGGAAATGTTTCAAATGCTGAAGGACACCCTTATCAAACAACCAGCAGATGAAGACCCTGATGAGGCAATTAAGGACTTGATAGAGATAGTACTGAAGAAAATGGCAAGTACTTACTGTGGTATCTGAGTGTCTTTCAAACATTCATTAACCGAAGCTTAGAACCTTCCTGTGAGGTAACAAAATATGGTGTGTGATTTACAGTGGGATTCTGAAAATCTCCTAAGGAAAGCCAGAAATACAATCCAGATCTAGTGAGCTCCAGTCCAGTATCCTCACATGAAACTTAGTTTACTATGTGAAGGTACTATAAACTTTATGTATAGACTAGTATGTGAATGTGTGCATACCCACCTGTGCATATCCAAGCAAAACAAAACCCCGGTCAGAAGTGGAAAACTCAAAAGTGTTAGCTCCACTTATGCGTTAGGCATCTGCATTAGCTTTATTATTAAGTATATCTGTGTTTTATCAATTGCTCATGAAATGTCTTTATGCAATTTATATATTCTATTATAATAGTACACTCAAGGTTATTAATGTGAAGCTTGTCTTACCGTGCATAATCTAGGATATCCAGATTAGCTAGGGACTGTCTTTCAATATTTTAAGTAAATCAAGATATATGCTCTCCCCTTCTATGGTGGTGGTCAAAAAATTTCACTTAAAACCAGGTTTTGAATCCAAACCCCTTTTGCTTTAGGTAGAGGCAAGTGACACAAAGCTTGTCTGAGCAGAGACTGATGACCACAAAAAATGATTTTGCGTACAATCAAACTAAAAATAGAATCCATGTCAATAAAACGTCTGTTAAACAAAAATACAATTACTACAAGTAATAACTCTTGGCTGAAGTGTTCCCTTCCTTTTGTAGGACTATGATCATGATGGTAAGCTTTCTTTTGCGGACTTTGAACAAGCAGTCAAAGATGAAAATCTTCTCTTAGAAGCCTTTGGACCATGTTTGCCAGACATAAAGGTATGAGTTTAAAAAAAGGTGCAATACTTTCTGTTCTGTTGGTAAGGAGACGTATTATGGCATTAACTGTTACCTCACAGTGTCTTTTGGAAGAGGCTGGTAACTTTCTGAAAAAAAAAAAAAAACACCCACCTTGAGAGTTCTTCCTTTGAGAGTGTGGCACTGCTGCTTTGTAATTTCATCTAACCAGGCTTTGTTTATCAGTAATATGTCTAATTCAATTTTTTTTTTTTTTTGGAAGATGGTAATTTAGACCATGCTCATTTCCTTAGTGTTAAATTCTACTTTGGAGGGAGTTTCTGCTCTATTTTTTTCCTAATCCAGTAATTGTCATTCTATTTGAGCTGTGTGTGACTTTTAAATACTGAAAATTGCAGCTTCATAGAGAAGCTACAATACCTACAATAGCTTTCATAGCAAAATAAAATTTGAAATATGCACAGTGATTCCTAGAAACAGAAGAGTTGTATAAGATTGCTGAGAACATGGCAAGTTTTCCTTTGCTGGAAACCTGTACTTCCTGCCAGCTCACCCACCTGTAGGCTGGAGGACAGGAAGAAAGAGTCTTATAGCCACAATGGCAAGCTACATTACATCATGTCAGCTGCAAAGCAGCTGTTCCCAAAATGCCAGATTTCTCCTGGCAGGCTGTCAAAAGACTTTAAAGGGTTTGGGAAAAGCAAAGTAAGTACTCTGTTTTTTAACACCAATGAAAAGGTTTTAAAGTTTCTGAACAAAATCACTGTCATTAATCAGCATGGAAAAATTACTTCTTTTGTCAGTGTTGGTGATAAACCAGGCCCACAATTCAGGCTAATCATGGCAAGAGGTGGAAAACTTGGTTTGTTTCTTGCTTACAGTATTTGTGCCTTCTGTTCTTTATCCTACCCAACTGCTGCTTTTCCCCTAGGTCTTTAGTTTCACTTTTAAAAGAGAACAATATTTATATGTCCTTTCAAGCCCTAAAATAAATTTCAGCTGTGAGCTTTACATGAAGAAAACCCATAATTTACTAGATTTCCCACTGGGGCTATTGTAATTTTAATTCTACCCCAAATTAAACACTCATTTGTGTAATGAATAGTGTATTTGACAGAGTCCTGCCACTGTAAGTGGTTCTGCAAGGAGCCTGCAAAGATGTGGCACAAGCCAGTTCCTTACGTACACTTGCACCAGCACCAATCCTGTGAATGTCAGAATGGGGCATCTTAGCCTGGTGTTGGATTCATCTCCCCAGTGCCAGTTCTACTGCCCAAAGGTGACCCCTGAGCACTCCCACTCCGGGGTTGTTGCAACACAATGCTGCAGATATTAAATCTCATCACCAAGGGAAATTTCACTCCTTTACATTGTCATCCCAGTCTCTAGCATTCCTACTTCCAGCCCATTTACCTCATTCTACAGCTGGGTCTTCTTGCCCTCCATGCTAGGTCATTCCTTGGTCACACATTCCTGCTGCTGAGCAGTTAAAATTCAAATTTCCCCTTCAACTATAACTTTAAATGTTCTGACTGGTCTCCCAGCAGTGACACCATTAGTGCTATGGATTTACCTTTTCTAAGCTAAAAACCAAGAGGTATCCTATTCCTTGCATACACATTTCAGTCCAGTACATTTTCTCAATAAATATAAATCCTTTAGTTAACTGAAAATTTACTTTTCTTTTTTTCTTTTTTTTTTTTTTTTAAACAGAGCAGGATTGCATTTGAAGAGAGAGTTTTCCCGGACACTCGTAAACTGTAACTCCATTGTTGAATACTGTTGTGAAGGCTGTTTTTCTTCACTGTATTCTTCATGATACAGTAAAAATAGGAGCAACTTGAAACTACTGTTTCAGTATTCCTTTACTGTAAAATTTACAGCATAAACAGAATTTAGTTCCATGACTCTACCTAAATAAAGTTCTTCAATGTTAGGAAATATGTTAAAGTATAAGGTACACAAGACAACATTGCAACAATAATATATTATAGTGGTTTGTCCATTCCAAGAAACAAATTGATACAATTTTTAACAGAATCCCTTGGAAATACAGTGTAAAAAATTTTTTACTTTTTACATAAAAAATAAATATTTTAAACTATATCCTTTATAAAAGGACTGTTGGAAGATCCTGCCAGCAGTGTCTATATTCTTCTTCTCTGCTTTACAACTGGTTTGGCTGATCTGCTCTCTGGCTTTTCCACAGAAACAGAATCTGCTACCTAAATAGGGAAAAAAAAAATTAGTAACCTGTAACCACTACCTTTTTATCCTTATTTTAGAGTAAGGCCACATTTCCAACATTTGAGTATTGGGAGGGATGTATTACTATAATCATGCTTGAATTGAATTTTCCTGCTACATAGAGGAAAAAAATAACACCAAAGGCAGAATTAAACACAATAGAGGTTAAACTTAGAAGAGTCAGCAGTACCATTTTTGTATTTAACCAGAGAAACTGATTTCAGATACTCAGTGATAGAGCATTAGTGATAGAGCACCTTCTTCCTACCAGAGGTGTTTTCACAGTAAGGTTGAGTGTGCTTTTTAAACTCGGGTATTTCAGGAAAGGAAGGGAAAGCAAAAATGTGCATTTTGACACATATTTTAGAAATGTATTTAATATAAGTGGTGCTTATTTACAAATGTGACTGGAGATATAAGCCCCTTCAAATCAGTCTAGCTAGTCATAGTCAAGGGAGCTTTTTCATATCTTAATGTAAATGGAAAGTTTTATCAGGAGTGTTTGACCTGCTAATTAATTAATACCCTCCGTAAATGTTTATATAGATTAACTCATGTTTCTCAGCATAGAATAAATGCTTCTGTACAGCTTTTAATGGCATAAGAAGTGCTAAGGCAAAATTACATTGAACTGCGACTCCCATTATTTTTCACTCCCTTTCAATCAGAAACCAGATAAAAGCACCACGTTGGAGTCAGCAGGATAACCTGCACAGTTACCATGCCCCCACACGTTGGAAAAAAAAAAAGTGGTTTACTGAAAATCATTTAGGACTGTGCACAGACATTTATACTTTCTTAAGAGTAGTGTAAGAGGTATGGAGTAGAATTGTCTGCAATACTCTAGAGTATGGAAGCATTAAAGAGCAAGAATGCTGGCTTTAACTGGCAAAGAAACTGGTAATACTGAGTGAATGCGGAATTAAGTTACCTGAGGGTTGCTGTTTTCATGAGTAACAAGCACATATGTTTGAAACTATCAGACTATCAAAACTTTAAGAACCCATACCTCTTTCAGTTTATTTCTAATTAATGTAGCTGAAGTATTCAATGACTCATCATCCATATCCACTTTAGGTATTTGTGGCAGTTGTGGACCAATAATGACTTCAGTATTGTCCGCATTTGTTCCAAGGAGGGAAAACCTGTTACCTTCTTCTCTCTTCCTCTTACGTTCTTGCAAGTGAGTTGTACGAGGCATAAACCTGTCAATTCCACTATAAGTTGGAACCATTCTTTGCTGCATTAAGGAAGCTGGTGGAGTACATCCTCCTAGATGTACTCTGGGAGTTAGGGATGTGTTTTGGCCAAAGTACCCAGAAGCTTCAGCACAATTGTTATCATAGTGTGGGGATGTTAACAAGCTCTGATTATGATTCCCAGATGGATGCCCTGTGTTGTGGGATACCCCATGAGAACTTGTAAAGCAGGATGGATTCCAGTTATTGGCTGCATACGATCCCGATGTACTCCATGGGCAGTCATGCTCAGAGGTCTCTGAAACTGTCTTCTTCGGGCCCTCAACTTTCTTTAACACAAAGCAATCTTTAAAACAAACAAAAAAACCAGCTTCACTATTTCATGTCATTATTAGTTCTAAAAAATAAGAAGAAATATTTAATAAAACTGCAGAAGTAATACAGTGATATTCCATTCCCAGGCACCTTTCTGTGATTTTTAAGAGGTACCGTTCAAACTAGTTTTCCAGCCTAGTTCCTCTGCTGGTTTACAAGGAATGCCTGAGCAGAAGTATTTCCACAGTTTTGAGAACAGAAGGAAAATATTCCTAATGTAGCAAATTGGTGATTTTTACCTCCAGTTATGATTTCAAGGACAGGCTGTCTAGCAAAATTGAAAACAACCAGGTGTTTTGATGTTAAAAATCACTGGTTTTACTCCCTTTAAATACCCTCACACAATGAATAGTGATACCCAAGTACACGAGCACAAGAAAGGAGAAGCTTGTACTCAGCAATTTGCTTATTCCTCATCTTGTCCAACCTTCAGTGCTGCCTGGGAACTCTGCAGTACAGGAGCCTTTGTAAACCCAGTCCGTTTCTAACTGCCCCAGTGCCAAGATGCAGGCTGGAGAAATTTTTTGTTGGAAGTTCTGGTACAGTCACCTTCCTTCCAAAGCTGTCCCTTTGGGCAGGCCTGAATAAGCTGGAACAAGGGTGAAAATATCATCCTAGATTTCCTACTAGTGCTTGAAATTTCTGATAACATTTTGAAAAAAAACCCAAAAAGTGAAGGAAATACTTCATTATTAAAGCTTAAGCATTTCTGTATTTTAGTCTTAACTGAAACTGAAAAGTTGCTTTGAAAAGGATACAGTTCTCTAAATACTGAGGGATGTCTCCACTATACTGTAAATATGCTTAAAATACATCTTTAACAGCTAGATAAAAAGTATTTTGTTTAACAGGTTCTTTAACCAAAACCCCACCCAGCCCTGAAGAAAGATGTTAAGATTCTATAGGAAATGTAATCACAAACCTCCTTGATTTGTTGCTTTTGCTATATACTTTCTTCTATCCTGCAACTTCTCTCTAGTTTCTTGGACTGTTTCAAATTCTGGAGCGTAGCACACATGCAGCAAACTACCAAAGAAACTTCGTTCATCCATTTTTTTCTTGGCCACCCTGAAAGGAATTAAATTGTATTGGCAAAACTGAGGATTTTACTTAAACTCTCTAGAATTTTAACACATTGTAACTACAGAAGGTATAAAAGAGTAAGACAAGAGTAAGACAAGAGGCAGATATTGCCCTGTCCAATACCTTGCACAGTGCAGTTTTTGGAATTTTAGAAGATACACTTCAGTAAATTGCTCTGCTGGATATTCATCTAGAGCATGATACTCCTCAATGGCACCATATAATGCAAATTGTTCAACTAATTCCTTCATAACACCTAATGCAGGGACTCCTTGTATCAGTAAATAGCGAGATTCCAAGTTGATAGTGTAAACCTGAAAAAAAAAAACAAAACCAAAGAGTATTCAAAAATGTTCACATTCTTGCTGTATTGCAAAAGGCAGGCATTTTTTCCATGTTTTCTGTTTTTCCCCCAAGTCCTCTCAGGAAAATCCCTGTGTACTCTATTTTGACTCTGGACTCTGGCAGGGCAATAAGTGCATGGTTACTGGGACCTCCTCATCACTGAGCAGGAACTGAACCCCAGCTTCTCACTCAAAGCAAAACACAAATGAGAGCTGACTTTTCTGCACGAGGTCAGAGTACTGCCATTTGCTGAGCAAAACCTCTAGGCCTCTGGCCAGCTTCCATGCAAGACTGACTAGTAACTGGTTTGTTAGAGACACTGTCAAAATACAGAAAAAAAAAACCATTAAAAAACCTGTCTTGTTCACAGGCAGAGCGATCATCCAAGTGAGGAAAACTGGGTTTCTCCTCACAAAGGAAAAAAACCCAAGTATCGCAATTCTCTGGGGCAGATGGTGTGTGTGCAGAGCTGTCTCCTTGCTACAGTGATCCAACAGCATACCATTTTACGGCACACAGATAAAATCTGGATGCCTAGGGAAACAAGGTCTTTTCCCAGCAGGTTAAAACTAAATCAACCACTTCCTTCTGCTTTGTGAACTGTCCAGCAGCACAGACTCTAAGGAAAGCTTTGTGACAGCTCACTACATACAACAGGGAGTTAAACCCTGAGATCAAAGGAAATTCATTCCAAGTTTGTTAAAAAAAAAGAAAAACCCAAATATTTAGACAGCATAAGTTACACATTAAAAACAAAACAAAAAAAAGAGCAAATTCTGGACAACAACAGGAATCGCTTGGGAAATCAGCTCTCAAACTACCACCATAAAAAACAGTCTCCACAGCCAAGCCGCCTAAGTTGTTCTTGTGACAGCAGCATATTCCCTGCCTGCATTCTGGGAACAAATGGATTGAAATATGATTGATCTCATGTCTAGGGAGAGTAGATTCGAGTAAGGTTTTTTTCACGCCTGGGACATCCATACTGTTTCTCCTGTGTGTACCGTCTGGTGCCCAGAGATGGCTGGCCTATGGTGGCCTTTGTCCCTGTGTGGATACACTAGGCTTTCTGTCCCCGGCCCATGGCATACTCTTGGAAGAGTAAAGGAACAGCTCTGAGACGTCATGAAACATAGAAGGTTTGAAAGTTTTCAGGAGGGCCGTGTCTGAGAAAAAGACGTGCCTTATGTGTATGTGCAGGGATTAACCATTGTTTTGGCACTGATGAGGCCGCACCTCAAACCCTGTTTTCATTCAGGGCCCCTCACTCCAAGAAAGACATTGAGGTGCTGCAGTGAGTCCTGAGAGCGGGGTAAGAAGGGTCTGGAGCACAAGTCCTGTTAGGAGCAGCTGAGGGAGCCAGGGGTGAGGCTCAGGGTTAACTTTATTGCTCTCTACAACTCCCTGAGAGGAAGTTGGAGCCAGGTGGGCAGCGGACCTGACGATTTTAAATGTCTTGTCCAACCTTAGCGATTCTATGGTCCTTTCTCACACCAGTCCCATAAGGTGCCGCTACAGCTCGCTGTACACTGACCGCACACGCAAACCCCAAACCCAGCAGTTCTGCTGCGGTAACGAGAAGCTCCTGCAGTGCAGCAGGCGAGGCCCACGGCCTCCCTTCCCCTCTCCTCTCCTCCCCGTCCCGTTCCCGGCGAGCCGCGGGACCCGGACGGCCCGACCCGGCCTGCCTCCCCCTCACCCACAGCACCCCGCCCTCCCCCCCAAACCTTCACGGCGCAGCGGACGCCGCCCCCTCGCGGTACTTGGCGCGCGACTCGCACGGCGCCCAGCTGCACGTGATGCCAGAACAGGGAGGCGCCAGGCCTGGCGCCCGCCGCCATCTGTTCCCCATTCAGCCCCTGCGTCCCCGGCGCCCCTGATTGGCCGCTGCCGGGACCGACACCGCCGGCGTCTCAGGGAGGAGGGAGGAGCAATCGAGGCGGCAGGGGCACATGCCGCCGCCCTCATTGCGCCGGAGCGGTGGGCGCGTACCACTGCCGGGTGGCGGGGGGACCCGCCCCTCATGGGCGGGTCCAGTGCCCGGGCCAGCGGGCGTGCAGGGCGAGGAGCCGCGCCATTTGGGGCTGTGGCGACCCCGGCGGAGCCGCCGCCTCCGCCACCGTCGTGCTGAGCGGACCGCGACTGCTTCCTGCACCTGCCGTCCGCGCTCGCCGCCGATCTTCCGCCTGCAGCAGGTACCGGGGCGGCGCCGCTCGGGGCCCGGGCGGAGGGACGCCCCAAGTGGGCGGTGAGGATTACGGGAGCGCAACATCCGCCCCGCACTCCAACCTCCCCCGCATCCCGCTGCCATGACGACGCAGCGCCCTCCTCCCCTCCCCGCGGCCGGGGACCCCTCACAGGAGACCCCGAGGAACCCCCTGTCTCTCGCCCCTTGCGCAGCCCAGCGTTGTCATCCATTCCTAATAAAACATGGGAAAGATTGGGAATTATGTCCCCCAACGTGGTCTGGCACCGTGAGCATCTGCGTCTCTCTCAGTACTCCGTTTCATATTAGCTCTCACAGTAACTCGCCAGCATTAGCCGTGCATTAATAAGATGTGAATTTATCATCGAGGTGGGAGGTGAGGTGGTCAGTCCATGCAGAATCCTCGTTGTTAGTGTACATAAATTAAATGTGTCGCTGTAGAAGGGGGCTCCCGTCACGCAGAGCTGAGGACGCGGGTCCGCTCGTAAATAACATTACACACGTGGAAACGGGAGCAGAGCCTGCTTTTGTCCCTTGTGCCGTGAACACAGAACTACGGGTCTGCCAGCAGAACAGGGTGGAAAATGGCAGGAATGAGCCGGGCGAGGAGGAGGAGACGGGAGCAGAGCTCAGGAGCCCTGACACAGCCCCAGGCTCCCTCTCCCGGTGGGGTAACCTCCGGATTTCCCAAGGCCAAAAAGGGCATTTCACAATCCAGACGTGTAAAAACCTGCTCTTTGGGGTGGTAGAAGGAGGTTGGCAGAGTTGCGAGAAATGCAGTATAAATGTGAGCTTCATTTCGGCTGCAGTTTCTGAATGTTTTACAGATTTGCTGGCAAGATAGAGGAGAAGGGAGGAGTGCAATTGCTTAGAGATCTTGTAGGGTCATTCTGTACATCGGTGGTTATGGTGGGCTCCTGCTTTTACTTAACCTGAG